GTATTTCTATGCATTCCTGTGTTTACAACGTTGGCATTGTTCCAAAATCATGCACGTTGTCCTTTCTCCCTATTTGCTGGAGATACAGTAGCTTTTTTTAAATACAATTGGTCACTTGCGTCCATAGCACGCATTCCTATCGAGTGGTATAGAATCACAGCGTATCTCGTGTCCACTGAAGTATTAGTGCGCACTGTATCGTAGTACGTAGGCTGCATATTCAACACGTATTAAAAAATAAAATATGAAAACCCGTCCCGATTTTTCAGCGCACACGACACAGTTCCAGGGTCATTTGGCGTACCACCTGGCGGCACTCCACGTACCACTGCTGGTACGCGTACCACAGTTTGAGAACCACTGCTTTAGACATTTGGAGTTAGACTGCTTGATAAGTCATAGCAGGGCACACACAGACACATACATGCATACACTCACAACAGGGACAATTTTCCAGATGCCAATTAGTCTACCACTATGTCTTTGAGCCATGGGAGTAAACTGGAGCCCCCGGAATAAACCCATGGTAACATCCCCAGATATATGATCATATTACACAAAGAACTTTGAACTACAAAAGTTTACATTTTTTAAAGGAACCACACATCACCAAAATCCAGCTAGCACTGCTCATATGATTGTCCACATGTTTTGTTCTCAATGTATAGCTCCTCTGTGTATAGCTATGTATTTTATGTTCAAAGCACATTTCAACCAAAGAAGTAAACAAAAACTTAAATTCATACTTAGTCCTGGTTTCAAGATAGGCTTCAACCATTTCAACAAAATCCTTTGGTGCTTTATGTCCATAACCTGGCATGTCAACTAAAGTGAAGGCCTTACCAACGGTGAAGAAATTCATTTTTTTTGTGTGTCCCTGAAATAAAAAAAAAACATCTGTGAACTTGCGTCAGTGAATATAGTACTGAATTGTAAATTCGCTGTTATCAAAGTTATATGCATTTGTCATTATAGGATAGTGCAAAATTCAGCAGAACAATAGGGAACGAAATTTTATGTTTTTTTATGGCAGAGTGTTCAAATAAAGTACATTTTAAATTGTTTTAACATTCTATATTTGATATAAAGAACAAAGCTGTCCTTGTTATTCTGTAATTCTTCTTCATATTAATGAGGTACAGGCCATTCTTTGCATTGAATGCATGAGCAGGAGCAAGATTAAATCAACTGATATAATCTTTCCCAAGCATTCAACTGCTTTTGGAAAACTTCTTATTTGAAAAAAGGTTTTGTTTAAAAAATAGTTATCGGCTCATTCCTTGTTATAGTGTATGTTCTGATGAGGTTTACCCACTGCTTAAAGTCTAGTTCATATTTCTCAGTCTGTCCTAAATTAAGTTCCACCACTAGTATGAATGGCTGTAGAGTTCCCTATTTAACCACCTCATGTATTGTGCAGTCAAGTTTTTATCTTGTTCAGAATAGCTGCTGCATAAGTGGTCATTGAAGAAAGTTCCATACTACCTGTATGTCACACAGGCAACTTCAGTCAATGAGAAGTTAACAGCTGTTACTAACTTGTTGCATTGACTGCTGTAATTAATACATCAGCTGTAAGACAACGTTCTGTTTTTCGAGCAACACAAGGGCAACTTAAAATTTCAGTTAAAAATATATGTATATATATTGTAATACTACCACCAGAGATATGTTATTAATTTATTCGTCAACATCTGATCTGACGAAAATATGGAACATTTAATGTCCTTGCATTACAGATTTCATGGGACAGATACCTCAGAAAGTGAACAACAGCAGAAAAACCCGGACCGGTAGCAACCCTAATGCTATTACTAGAATAACAAGATCATTTTTTGTTTGCCTTCACATTAATTATTTCACAAGAAGGCATCTTCCTAACAGGATTCTCATGACCTCTTGTGGTGAGTTAAGATATGTACCAATTCTTGATGCCCATTTTCAATATAAATTCTATACACCTATAACATGGTGTAGAAATATATTTCGGATTTTTTTTTTTACTCACCGGCGTTTTAGAAACTCTAACTTCAACCTCTGGGACCAAAGAAAACAATGCTTTAATAAGAGAGGATTTTCCAACATTACTTCTGCCAATAAAGCACACCTGATGACAGGAAGAATGAGTTAGACAAAGGATGCGTATGCACAGAGCAGGGTCATCACGATTAGTGACAGAAAGAATCTAGATGTCACCCTTTCCCTTAAATTATATCTGCTTTATTTAATCAGAACAAGAAAAACTGCCCAAGGACACCCTCTACAAATAAGATACATGAGGACATTTGCTTTCCAAAAATTACTCAGTTCTACTGGTATACAATATTTTCAGAAAATTCTATTTCGCTTTTCATTTGTATTTGACTGTTGGCTAAACATTTTGTTATGAATTTATAACTTCAGTGAAGGAAAAAATAAAGCAACCCCCCTCTACCAGCAATACAAAAAATAATGTTTTAAACAAAGAATCAAATTCAAATTTTTCATGAAATTATCTTTTCTAAACAAAGCATCTCTAGAGGTCTCATTGGAAATTGTCATAAAGAATTATAATTTGCTTAAAATTCTAGAGGAGAAGTAGAATAGTACTAAAACTGTTGTCAAATGTCTGTAACATTATTGCTCATGCTTCCTCCTTCAGAAAGTGAAAGCAACCCATATGGTGATACTGGAATCACTAAAGGCAAAAATTATCAACAAAACAACTTGAGGTAAAGTAAAAAAAAAAGATATATTTACATTATAATATTATAATATTGTAACGCATACAGCCACCGGTGAGTGTGTAAGAGCCGGCTTTCCAGAGCGGTGACGTCACCACCCTTCCCTGTAATAGGGCCACAGCCGCTGGGCTGGTGGGAGATCTCTCTTTAGCTCAACAGCCTGGGTCCCTGTTGAGTGACGCTGGAGGCCTGGGTTTGAGTCCCCGATGGTGGGGGGCTGACTTGATGCGGCAGCAGGCAAGGGCGCCCACGTTAACCTCGTAGCGTTACAATATTAAAAGTTAGTCTTATAAAACCTTTTCATTTGCATTTGGAGAATCAAAAGACAGTGCTATAAATTTAAACAGGTGATTAATTTATTAAAACACATTAGCCAAATGAATTAATTGCCAATTCTTCAACATAACACTCCAGATAAAGTATGAATCATTATTCAAGTTTTAAATCACACCCTGTCCACTGACCTCTGGTTGGGTTATTACTGGAGCATGATCCATTCTTACAGCTGATGTAAAATAATCAATCTTGTGTTTCTTGGAAGGGGAAAAGAGTGCCTCTGCCCTTTCTATGTCCTCAAAACTAGGCTGGAATAACTGGAAGTTGGTCTTGCTTACTCGACTGGAGAGGTGACTCTCAAGCTCACTGAAAGGAAAAACAAGGCCCTGGAGCTTCTTCTCAGGCATCTGTGCTGCTTGACGAAATGAAGACAGGCTGTGGGCACCTTGCCGTGAGAAAATTACGGATATAGTTTTGGGCAGCACTGTCCATGTTCTCAAGTGAATTATTCTGTTAAGAAGCATGGTGTTCTGTCTAGGACATATAAAGGCACAAAACAAAGACTTTCGTAAGACATAGAACACATTTTTTTTCTTTAATGTATTATTCTGCAATGATGCTTAGTAATGTGTATTCACTGCGTAATCTACAATTTTCAAGTATTTCATTCAAATGCAGTTAGTCAAAAAATTAAGTTGAGATCATACAATGTCACCCATTACACAATTAGAAATGTTTATAAAATTATTTTCTTCAGATTTCTTAAAAAAATATTTTTAAGTGTTCAAAAATAAAATCTTACATTTCTCTAAAAATTTAAAACGGAAAACGGCTAAAAAATAAACAGCAAGTACCGAATACCCCTCAACGCGTACAGATTCACTGGTTTTAAACAGTGTTAACTATTCGTTTAATCGTGCATTAAAGTATTATTATTATTATTATTATTATTATTATTATTATTAACTTTATGATATTCGGTTGCCCTTAATGATTTAGCATCGTAATGATACGCTTGCGTGAAACATGTATTTCTACCCACATGGCAAATTACATTACATAATTATGTTTACGTACCTATGCAAAAATCAAATAGTCAACATAAAATTACTTCCATAAAATATTGTTATCGTCTCCTTTTGTGCATAAACCCATACAAAAAAAATGAAAATAATCTCGTAGTTTGATTCGTAGCGTGAAGCAAACTACATTAAGCGACGGTAGCTTGGCAGCACCTTTCAAAATAAAAGTTCCTAAATCCTGTTTCAGGAAAAAAAATCTGAACCAGGCAACGTCACATTTATCGCCTATTTATATACACTTCCGGATCATTCGCGTCTCTTAATGCTATTAGCTTCACTCTACTCGCTTCAAGTGTGTTTCAATTTAGCTTGTCCCCCCGGAAGCTCAAGAGGCGACAAAGTGTACCGCACTGACAGGTTAAAAAAAAATAAATTTCCTTTTTAAAATGTTGACAAGTAACACAACTGCTTTTAAACTCTTTTAAATAATTGTGCACGCCCTTCGGACTTTCCGTACTTTAGGACAAAAGAAGTTACGTTGTGTGTACAATAGTTTGGCACAATAAAAGCAAGCTGCGTTTGCACTCGCCTCCTGTTCATTTATTTTTATCAGGTATTATTATTATTATTATTATTATTATTATTATTATTATTATTATTTCAGATATCCCTGGGAGCAAAGAGAACTGAAATTAAGGAAATACATATTTTAAAGGGTTCATTGCTTGTTTAGTTCATGAGCATTTCATTTCTTTCTCCTGAGAACCACAAGTGGAGAGTCCTATCACAATACAAAATACAACAGATCTTTTAAATTCACACCCAGTTATGAATGAACATATTTAAGTCTTACATCCAATTTATTTATGTATCTGTGTAATTCCTCTTTACTCCCTAGGATATCTGAACCTTCAGATAGCTTACTAAAGGCTCGGAATGCATTAGCTTTAATACATTTACTAATAACATTAGACATTAAAGTTAATTCTTAATAAATGGCACTTTTATTAATAAATGTGGTGTGACTGGAAGGCAATGTTTGTTAAATAGTACAACAATTTTCCAAGAGACAGATGCATAAATCCATACACAGTGGTGATAATGTTTTCGCAGAATTTAGAAACATTCTAATCTGATCCAGTGTCCCACTTAGAACGATCCTTGAAGTTGCTTGCGCAACTTAAGTTATCTCTAGAGGGCAGCAGCTGTTACTTGGGTTTGTTGCAGATGAGAACAGGTTTAGTATTGTACTGTGGGCTAATTTCAGTGGCCAAGTTTGTTGCGATTTATCGTTAGTTAATGCACTAGTTTACCATGGAGGTGTGTGCTAGGCATGTGCTGAACTCCAGTTAGTACACTGCTTTAAGTTTGTTGCAATAAACCCAATGTGTTTGTTTAGCTACAACACTGGAGTTTACACTCTTCCCTTACAGTGGACCCTGTTAAAGTGCCCAGTTTAATGTCTTGTCTTAGGGACATTTGGGGCATTTCTAGTGCTTCACATCATGTGTCATATTGAGGAATTGGTTTGAAATTTTTGTTCTACAGGGAAGAGCGCCATCAACACCACATCTCAGATTACCACCATAAATGGGGCTAGCCCTGGGCGTAGGTGAACTAGTCAGCTGCCCAGGGCCCCGAGGCCACCAGTGTGCTCCCTCAATGTACATCAGAACATATTTTTTAATTGGTGGCACATTCATGGGAAATATAATCAGAATCATAATATCAGGTGGGTAGCTGCGTCAGCATGTGTAGGCTGCAAAGGAACAAGTAATAGGTTTATTTAATGCTGAAAAGAGAAGAAAGAAAACACATTGTTTCAGCTGTGGAGCCTTCTTCAGGGTGAAGGCTCCAAAGCCAAAACATTGTGTTTTTTTTTCTTCTCTTTTTAGCATGGAATAAACCTATTACTTGTTCCAAGTCAGGTTTGTGATAAGACAGGTTGTGTCTAAGGGATGCCAGCCCTCATCATTGTCCTTTCTAGTATTCGGTCAATTGGGTCATAGCAGTGTCCTTACGTAACTGTAATGAAAATGTAGTTGAAAAAAATAGGAGCTAACTCAATAATTTTGTGCTAATCTAGGATGTTAGAGATTGTTATTATCATATTATATTAAGAATACCTCAATCCCATTGCTGAGGTGTGATCTGGAGCAGGCTGTTCAAACAAGTAGACCGCTGTGCAGGTCTACTTCTTCTTTAGATTTATCTACTTTATCATTAGATTTATTTAGAACATCTAAGCGAAATACTCATTTAGTACATTTGACCATGGTCATGTCAGATATATTTCACTTCATATTTAATGCTATTAACTACTATTTTGATGTAGTAGAAATAACTTTTTATTATTAATTTTAGCTTTTATTGCAATATCACAGTTATATTGCTACAGTATATATATTTGCAATACAGATGAATTGATTGAACAGTGATCCAAATGAAATCATTAAGGTGGAATAGGACCAGGAGTGAATGTTTTTGTTATAAAGCATTAAATATTTCTGTTTTTTTTAAGAACTTGTCAAAAATGGTAAATGTGCATGAATAGAATGCATGACTTCATCTTCCTAGTCTCAGTGATGCGTTCATTTAAAAACTGATTTAACATGTTTTGAGTGAACCCGTGGGCCTACCATACAAAACTGTCAATAGGAGAAGATATTCCAGTCTTACCTAGGTAAAATTTTGCTGTGCATAAAAAAGAATACTGAAAAAGATTAAACTATGTGGTTCTCTTTAATATATTTTTCATGATTTTAACAATAATGTACTTGGGTTTGTTGCAATAATATATAAAAATAATACCAAAGAGTCATACTCAATAAATACACTATCACTCTTTGTCTGTCTTTTGAAGGTTTACAAGTAGAAGTAGTCAGCACTACTTAGCTTTCATAGTGCACTGCATCTTTTTCAGCACATACAAAGAGTGGTTATGGTCTGTGGCAATTACTTTGATGATAGGTGTATGTGCAAATAAGCAGATTTCTGGAGAAACACTTCAATATCTGTTATTAGAACACTAGGCAAAATCTTTAGAATTTATGGAAAATAAATGTAAATATACAGCACGTGTGTCCAAATTACTAAACCATAGCCTCAGACTTTTTCCATGGAGGCAGTCTTACTGATCTTCATATTTCATTATACTGTACAGTAATCCAAACCACACCTCTCATAGTATGCACCATTAAACTTGCTAAACATTTTACAAGGGCATAAATGGGGTGGAGGCTCTGTGGCTAAGGATCTGCGCCTGTGGCTGGAAGGTTGCTGGTTCAAATCCTGCAGTTGGCAGAGGAATCCTACTCCGTTGGTCCTGAGCAGGGCCCTTAACACCAACTGCTCCAGGGGCGCCGTACAATGGCAGACCCTGCGCTCTGACCCCAGGCTCTCTCCCTATCTGTGTGTCAGGGGTATGCAAAAAGACAATTCCTAATGCAAGAAATTGTAAAGGGTTAATGAAGTGATGTTAAATGATACAATTATAAATATAGTTAAAATTATAAATATAAATATTAAAATTATAAATATATCAACATCCTTTTACCTTATATAACCATGCATTATCATACAGATGCAGCCATTCAAAATGCGCGGTACAAACCCGCGGTACAGTAAACTACCCACAAGCCACCGCGGGGCACCGCGGTAAGTGATTGTCTGGCCAAAATGACCGACAGGGGCACTCATGGTGCATTGGTTGGTAGTCAAAAGATTGAATCATTTATTGAATATCTTTACTGTGCACATTTTAATCCACTTAGTTTTGAATATTTATATGGAATTTTACCACTAAAGGGAAATTTTAGTAGCTGAGCATAAAAAGAAGAGGAGCATAATGCATCTGAAGGTCATAAACGATATTAATTTAGGAACATAAACATTACTGTATGTACGTAAACTGTACTGTGTATGGCTGGTCTTGGTAAAAAAAATACACACCAGTCTTCCATTTCTCCCAAAACATTTTAAGCATGAAAGATTTATGAAACGGTACCCAAATATGCGATTGCTGTATAGAATGAATTGTAATTTTTAAAAATTATTTAACACGAAAATTAAGCTGTTTACATCTTCCGCCTGAGAACAGTCACCCGTTGCTACCCAACGCAGAAACACAGCCACTAACTAGCAAAGAGAAGACATTAGCTAGCCAATATGATAAAGAAATAAATGATTATTTTGTTTATTTCTTTTGCACATTTGTTTGAATATTTCCATCGATTGTACAAGCACTTGGAAACTGTCCAATCCCTAGTTCATCAGGCATTTTCTTTTACGCTGCGGGCATTCTCCCGGTCTGGCGCCAGTCTGTGTCTTCTAGGATATAATGCCAGCGAACTCTTGTTTTTATGTCCAGTATAACAGACAATCTCCTTTGGTTTTAACTGAGCGTTTAATAATTTCCTAAAATGAAAATGATTTATTTTATTTCCCTCACGGGATCAATAAAAGTATCTATCATCTATCTTAAAAATGGGACAGAATTCTGGGGTCTCCCCATACCAGACCAACGCTTAAATCTGTCTTATTAACAAGCATTGCCGCTACAGCAATAATAAAAAACTTTATTTTACATATCGCCTTTAAAAGTGGCATCTTAAAGCAATACAGTAGATGTAAACCACAGATTACAAAGTAAATACCCAGACAAACGCAAACGCGTTTTTAATAAAATGCTTTTATTCATTCAGCAGAGAGAGAGCGTAAAACCTGGGTGTAACAGCTGTTCCTTTTTCTGATCACTCGCTCTCTGGATAAACGTCTCTCCTGTCCTGTTCTTTGTTTTCCTAATTTGCTGATTATGCCT